CCTCAGCCTTTCTTGTCATGACCAGGTTCTTCCAATGTCCTTGAAGATCCACCCCTGAGAGAAGTTTTCTGACCAGCAGCCTGGGTTTGGGGCATTCTCTGCGCTCCCCCAGTGAGCTGAGCCACCTCAATGACGATGATGATTGCCCCTCACACAAAGCTGATTCTGCCCCTCTCCTGCTCACAGACCTCCATGGCTCCCCAGTGCCCCTGGGGGAAAAAAAAGGCCTAGGTCCTCTGCCCAAACTGTTTCCTCTAACTGGGCTCCCTTTCTTACTTCTCTGCTGGGCAAATTCCTACTCAAACTTCTATACGCTTCAGGAGTCCCCTCCTTCAGGAAGCCATCCGGCAATACCACGAGGTGGGCAGGGGCCTTGTTGGAGCTCTGGAAGCCACCTGTGTGCCTCCATTAAAGCACAAAGACAGACCGGGCTCCATGCCCAGAGGGGGAGGGAACAGCCAGGCCGGAGGTGGGTCCCAGATGTCGATTTCACGCCTATTTGTCTCGGGCGCTGGGAACAAAGTTTGGGTCATGAGGAACATATGGGGCCCGCTCTGCACTACGCTTTCATCTCCCGTCTCCCCAGCCCCTGAGTGGGAGGTGGTAGCGCCAGGCCTCTGCAGGCCTGGGTGGTTCCCACAGCCCCTTTGGGCCTCCTCACCCCTCTCTCCCTGCCCTCAACTCCCACTGCCTCTGGGAGCCAAGCAAAATCCTCCCTGATCTATATCTTGCCTTCTGATTTCAGTCTCCTGGAGGAGGTGCAGACTCTGGGTGTTTAAATAATACATATATACAGGCCACGCATGGTGACTCACACCTGTAATCCCAGCACTTTGGGAGGCCAACGCGGCGGATCACCTGAGGTCAGGAGTTTGGCACCAGCCTGACCGACATGGTGAAACCCCATCTCTACTACAAACACAAAAATTAGCCAGGCGTGTAATCCCAGCTACTCAGGAGGCTGAGGCAGGAGAATCACTTGAACCCAGGAGGCCGAGGTTGCAGCGAGCCAAGATCACACCACTGCACTCCAGCCTGGACAACAAGAGTGAAACTCCATCTCAAAAATAAACAAACAAACAAACAAAAAAACGAAACACCGGGCCGGGCGCAGTGGCTCACGCCTGTAATCCCAGCACTTTGGGAGGCCGAGGCGGGTGGATCACGAGGTCAAGAGATCGAGACCATCCTGGTCAACATGGTGAAACCCCGTCTCTACTAAAAAGTACAAAAAATTAGCTGGGCATGGTGGCACGTGCCTGTAATCCCAGCTACTCAAGAGGCTGAGGCAGGAGAATTGCCTGAACCCAGGAGGCGGAGGTTGTGGTGAGCTGAGATTGCGCCATTGCACTCCAGCCTGGGTAACACGAGCGAAACTCCGTCTCAAAAAAAAAAAAAAAGAAAAAGAAAAAGAAACACCTAGCCTAGTGGCATGTGCCTGTAGTCCTAGCAACTTAGGAGGCTGAGGCAGCAGGATCCCTTGAGCCTGAGTGGTCGAGCCTGCATTGAGCTGTGATCACATCACTGCACTCCTCCTGCCTGGCAGAGAATGAAACCCTGTCTCTAAATAAATAAATAATAAACGCATACTCTCAGTATAATAGCTCTCAGTCTGTGCTAAGCAGCTCTTATCCAACGGCACAGTCATAACTCACCACATCCTCGACCACCTGGGCTTAAGAGATACTCCTGCCTCAGCTTCCCAAGTAACCAGGACCACTTGTGCCCACCACCATGCCTGGCTAATTTTTTTATTATTTGTAAAGCTAGTCTGGTCTTGAACTCCTGGGCTCAAGCAATCCTCCCACCTTGGCCTCCCAAAAGTGCTGGGTTACAGGCATTAGCTACCATGCCTGGCCAAAAAATATTTCATATATCAGGTAGCAATAAGTGCTAAGAAGAAAAAATAAAGGCAAAGAAATAGAGAAGGGGCTGGGGATGGTGGTTCACATCTGTAATCCCAGCACTTTGGGAGGCCAAGGTGGATGGATCTTGAGGTCAGGAGATCAAGACCATCCTGGCTAACACGGTGAAAACCCATCTCTACTAAAAATATTTAAAAAATTAGCCAAGCATGGTGGCACATGCCTGTAGTCCCAGCAACTTGGGACGCTGAAGCAGGAGAATTGCTAGAACCCAAAAGGCACAGGTTGCAGTGAGCCGAGATCACACCACTGCACTCTAGCCTGGCCACAGAGTGAGACTCTGTCTCGAAAAAGAAAAAAAAGAAAGAAATAGAGTAAGATTGGAGGGAGCTTATATTTAGTTAAGGTGGTCAAGGGCCTTCTCTCTCATGCTGTGAAATTTGAGCAGAGACCTGTGGCAAAAAATTCCAGTGCTTACCAGTTGTGGTAGGTATAAAAAATAAAGGTGCCCAAACATGTCCATACTCGAATCCCCAGAACTGGTGAATATGTTACCTTACAAGGCAAAAAGTTACTTTACATATGCCATTAAGGTTAAGGACCTTGGCGGGGTGCGGTGGCTCATGCTTGTAATTCCAGCACTTGGGGAGGCCAAGGCGGGTGGATCACAAAGTCAGGAGTTTGAAATCAGCCTACCAACATAGTGAAACCCTGTCTCTCCTAAAAATACAAAAAAATTAGCCGGGCGTGGTGGCAGGTGCCTGTAGTGCCAGCTACTCGGGAGGCTGAGGCAGGAGAATCGCTTGAACCTGGGAGGCGGAGGTTGCGGTGAGCTGAGATTGGGCCACTGCACTCCAGCCTGGGTGACAGAGTGAGACTCCATATCAAAAATATAATAATTAAATGAAATTAAAATTAAAATATGAAAATTAGCTAGACATGGTGATATGTACCTGTAATCCCAGCTACTTGGGAGGCTGAGGCAGGAGAATCACTTGAATGCAGGAGGTGAAGGTTGCAGTGAGCCGAGATCACACCACTGCACTCCAGCCTGGCGGTGACAGAGCAAGACTGTCTCAAAACAAGCAACAAAAAAAGAGAGAAATCTTGAGATGGGGAGAGATTATTCTGGATGATCTGGGTGGCCCCCATCTCTCATCCAAGAACTAACCAGGTCTGACCCTGCTTAGCTTCTGAGGTCAGAGAAGATCAGGTGCATCCAGGGTGGTATGGCGGTGACTGGGTGCCCCTCATCTAATTATAAGAGTCCTTAATAGCAGAGAACCTTTCCCAGCCATGGTCAGAAAGAGGTGTGAGGATGCAAGAGGCAGGAAAAATGTGAAGCTTGAAAGGGACTGGACCTGTCGCGCATGGCTTCCAAGATGGAAAAAGGGGTCATGAATCAGGGAATGTGGTGGCCACCAGAAGGTGGGAGTAGAAAAGAAACAGATTCTCTCTTAGAGGCTCCAGATGGAATGCAGCCTCCTTAGCACCTCGATTTTAGCCCAGTGAAACCCACGTGGGGCTTTTGATCTGTAGAGCTGTAAGATGATAAATGTGTGTTGTTTCAGCTGCTGAGTTTATGGTAATTTGTTATGGCAGCAACAGGAAACCAATTTGACAGTTCTTCTCTGTTACCTGCGCGTGAGGGAATTCCACTTCCCCACCTTCATACAACTGAGTGGAACCACATGAGTAATCCGGATGAATGAGCTGTGAAAGGAAGTGCAGGGAGTCATTCCTGGGCCAAAGCTGTTTCACTTGCATGAGACCATTCAATGCTTTTCCTCTTTCCTTGCCTCATTGAGCAAGAAGATCCTGGGTTATGGCTGCTGCTACAGGATGGTGAACATCTCAGCCTGGGTCCTTGAGTGACTGTGTGGAAAACCAAACCTTGCCAACTTTCATGGAACATGTATATGAGCAAGAAAGAAACTTTTTGTTTTTTCTTTCTTTCTTTCTTTCTTTTTGAGACAGGATCTTGCTCTGTCAACCATGCTGGAGTATCCTGGCCTGATCTTAGTTCACTGCAGGCTGGACCTCCTGGACTCAAGCAATGCTCCTGCGGAAGCCTCCCAAGTATGAGGACTACAGGCTGAGATGCCTGGCTAATTTTTTTTGTTTTTTTTTTGAGACGGAGTCTCATTCTGTCACCCAGGCTGGAGTGCAGTAGTGCAATCTCAGTTCACTGCAACCTCCACTTGCTGGGTTCAAGCGATTCTCCTGCCTCAGCCTCCCTAGTAGCTGGGACTACAGGCACCCACCACCATGCCCAGCTAAGTTTTGTATTTTTAGCAGAGATAGGGTTTCACCATATTGGCCAGCCTGGTCTCGAACTCCTGACCTCATGATCTGCCCGCCTCAGCCTCCCAAAGTGCTGGGATTACAGCCATGAGCCACCGTGCCCAGCCATAAAATTGTTTAAAAAGAGGAAGAAATAAATGGACCTTAAATCACATCCTTTCTTCTAAGACTCCCTGAGTACCCTCTCAGTGACTCTCCTGAAAATATCACCCAAATTTGAGATTATTTTGCTGTGGGTGCAGGCAGAGGCAGAGGTCAGGGTGGCAAGGAAGGTCCCAGGCTGTGGCAACCTTCCATTCTGTGATACTTACGCCTCCTGCCTTTTGAGCCCCTCCCCTCTGGCCTTAGGTAGCCATCTGTTGGGTGGGAATACAGTTCTGCTCGGGACCAAGCAATGTCATGCCACTCTATGGCTTCTGACTGGCTATTCTCTCAAAAATGAGTCTAGGCTGCACTTCAAGACCAGATGAACTTATCAGAACCCTCTTTAGATATTCAAAGTCTCTTCATTCCTTTCTGAGAGCCTATCCTGAGGCCCATCAGAAACCAAAAGTTCCTGAGTCTGGAATTTTCTGGAAATCTGGAACTGCTATCCCTCCCGTTGTAAGATTTCCCGCCTTTTCCAACCACGCCCTGCCCACTGGCCTTTGGCCCATCATCTGGCAACATCAATATGACTAGCACCCAATGACGTCATAAGAGCGCTCTCATTGAATTGGCCACTTTGCCAGGATGCTGTGGTCCTAACTTCAGTTCAGTTTATTGATTGAAGACCTTGCTCACTTCCCTCTAGAGATTGTACCAGCATCAGTCAAGGGTCTGTAGACAGAATTCCCCAATATTTGAGACTTTATTGGGGAAAATAGATCATTGGCGGGGAATTAGCCACAGGCCAAAGGAGGGACTGCTGGAACAAGAAATCTTGCTAGCCGCCATTTTGCTAAAAGTTCCCCACGCCTGCGCGGCGTAGCGCATGCACAGTGACGTCGGGACTCTGCGACGTCCGATTGGCTCTCTACGGTGCACCATCGAGGTAGAAGGCTCAGCTCCCCGTCGCTCCCAAGTTATTTTGTTGGCGTTCGAGGCGGCCCCAGCCCACGTGTAGTGCTCTGGCCTGGGTGGGGCTGGGTGTGGGTGCCCGCAGGCCGCGGCAGCCTCCGGCCCGCTCCTCCTGCTGCAGCCGCCTCAAGGGCCGGGCCCAGCGCGGCCTCCAAGGCAGCGCGAGGCCGTGGCGGTCGAGGATGAGGCGCGCGGGGTCAGGGCTGCCCACCGCGCTGCCCAGCAACAGGTAGTCGGTGCCTGGCTGTAGGCGTAGGCAGCCGCACGCCAGGTCGGCGCGGGGCACCCAGGCGTCCTGGTCGCCGCGGCGCACCGGCCGCGCCCGCTGCTTGTAGACGGTCAGCACGTGCACAGCCAGCCGCTGCCATGCCAGGCCCACCGCCTCGGACGCTAGTATCTGCGCGCTGAGAACTGTGGGGAGGGGAGATGTCAGCCCAGGTCGTGGGGAGCTTCCGGGGTACTTCCGGGTCCCGAGTGGTTGGCCACAGTGGGCAGGAGCCTGAGACCCTTGGGTGGGCTTCTGGGATCGCGGCACGGAGAGAAACCTTGAACTTTTGAGAGTTTGTCCCTAAATCGTGAGGGTTGGGGCCTGTTGGTGTAAAGAACTGAATTCAAGGCAAGGAGTTAAAACTACTCTATGGTAGGTGGGGCTGGCGACCGGGCAGAAGAGGCAGGTCCAGGGTCTCTAATACAGTGGCATGAGAAGATGTCAATGGTGGAATTCTTTGGAAAGAGGGGTCACATTGCCGGGGTGGGGGTGGGGGGCTCTGGGATGAATTTGGAGGACCAGAAAGAAGAGATTGGTCCCTGGAAGATGAGGGCTGAGGCCATACTGATAGGGATTAAGAAAAACAGGTTTTTGTTTTTTTTTTTTGAGATGGAGTCTCACTATCACCCAGACTGGAGTGCAGTGGTGTGATCTCAACTCAGTGCAGCCTCCACCTCCCTGGTCGAAGCAATTCTTGTGCCTCAGCCTCCTGAGTAGCTGGGTTTACAGGATCCTACCACCACGCCTAGCTAATTTTTGTATTTTTAGTAGAGACGGAGTTTCACCATGTTGGCCAGGCTGGTCTCGAACTCCTGACCTCAAGTGATCCACCCCGCCTCAGCCCCCCGCAGTGCTGGCATTACTGGCGTGCCGTGCCGGGCCAGAAAAACGTACTTTCTGAGAGACTGGATGGGACTCTGACTAGCAAGCTGGGTCTGCAGGGCAGAACATCCCTGTAGAAGGTAGGGGACAGCTTTCCACCTTTGAAGGCCTAGAACACTAGTGACCAGATGAGGATCTTGAGGGAGAAGAAGTCTGCGGTCCCAAACATTGAGAGAAATAGCTGGTGTTGGTCTAGATTTGTTGGCTGAGCCAAACTCCTGAGTGTCTAAGAGAGCTGAATGGCCTGAGGTCATAGATTTCAGGGCCATGGAACAGGTGTGGACTGGGGATTAGGGAACCATGGGGTAACTCTTTATGGGGAGTGGGGCTAAGGCTCAAATATCTGGGACTGTGAAGGGAAGCAGAAAGGGTCTCTGAAATTGGCAGGACAGGGCAAGAGCTCATTGTACTCAACCAGTTCCCCTATCTCTTCCATCAGGCTGAAGGAGATGATGAAACTCTGCAAGCCCAAGAACATGGGGAAAGAGGAGACACAGGAAGGTAGTGAACGGCTCCTCCCCGCACCCCCTCCCCATTTCTCCTCTGCGTCATCCATTTCTAGATCAGGAAGGGCCCTTTGGAATCCAACACTCCTTCCCATTTAAGATGAGGAAGTGGAAGGCCAGAGAGGGGATGGCTTAGAAGCAGTCTTCAGAACCGAGTGTGCTGCCTCCAGCTGTCTGTCTCCCCAGCACTCACCATAGTCCTGCTGGCAGTACCTCCGAAGGCTCATGTGTACCCTGGTGTCCGACATATTGCAGTAGTTTTGACACTGAGGGTCTGGGGAGGGTCAGGCTGTCTGCAGTGGGCTCCTGGGGCCTAGACCACAGCCTTCTGCCCCTGCCCATCCCTGTATTCCATCCTGATGGCCAACTGGGGCACCCAGTCCTTTGGGATTGGGCTCAATGGGTGACCCATGTATCCCCATCTGGGGACCCAGTCAGCCCATCCCCAGTCCCTGTTGCCACTCAGGGACCTCCATGCCAGACTGTCTTACCAGAGCTGTAAGCACCAAGGGTAGTAGCCAGGGTGGTGGTTGCCTCTGGGATTCCTATGAAACCAAAGGAGAAACTTACCTCTTAGTCATTTTCCCCAGGATCACCCCCGCCCCAGGAATCCAGGCACCCAAACTCAAAGTGTTTATTCCTTTAGGACTCAGGAGTGCAAGTATCCCTTGCCTTCCTCTCCCGGGACGCAGCAGTCCAGGCCCCCCAAGCCTCCTTTTCCTCAAGAGTCCGGAATTTCAGTCTCTGCTTATCCAAGGACCCAGAGTCCAGCCTCCAGCCTTGGGCTCCCATTTCCCAAGGCCCCAGCCCTCACTGCACCTGCTCACTGGAGACCTGGGATGTCTCCTTCCCGCTCTACTCAGGGTTATGGCCTGGCCCCTCAGGACTCACGCTGGCAGGGCATCCTGGGGGAACGGCTCTGCTGGTAGCCAGGACCACAGCGGTTGCAGGTCAGGCCTGTGACCCCTAACTTACAGGTGCACTGCCCACTGGTCTGGTTGCAGGTTCCTCCTGTTGCCCCAATAGGGTGGCACTTGCAGGCTATATGAGCAGAGGAGCTGGGGGCATGGGGTATCAGGCCCCAGATGCCCTTTCCAATTCCATAGTGCCTCCTCCCTCAGCTGGGGGAGTCCAGGCCCCCAGCCCCTCCTCCCTCAGACCCAGGAGTCCAGGCCCCCAGCCCCTCCTCCCTCAGACCCAGGAGTCCAGGCCCCCAGCCCCTCCTCCCTCAGACCCAGGAGTCCAGGCCCCCAGCCCCTCCTCCCTCAGACCCAGGAGTCCAGGCTCCCAGCCCCTCCTCCCTTAGCCCCAGGAGTCCAGGCCCAGTTCCTCCTCCCTCGACGAAGGAGTCCAGCCCCACCTCTGTTCCCCCAGGCCTGTCTACAGGCCACACTCACCCCTGCAGGCCTTGTGGCTGGAGATAGGCTGGCTGGGGTCCCTCCAGAACCCTGGCTGGCAGTAGTGGCAGTGCCGCCCAGCTGTGTGGTGGCGGCACCGCTCACAGACACCCCCACTCTGGCCACCTGACAGCCTGAACAGCTCAGAGTTGAACCGGCAGCGTCGGGCGTGCTGGTTGCAGGAGCAGGCTAGGAGCAAGATGGGGTGGGGCCGCATCAGGGCTGGGTTGGTGCTCCCCAGTCCCAAGCGTTTTCTCCGCAGCCCTGCCCTCATGAAAGGAAGCAGTGAGTGTCCAAGGTAGAAGAGAATGCCTGGGTCTCTCTGGCTAAGCATGGGTCCCAAAACGTCTCCACTCTCATCTTTTAAATGGGTAGGCTGGGTGCGGTGGCTCACACCTATAATCCCAGCACTTTGGGAGGCCAAGCTGGGTAGATCACCTGAGGTCAGGAGTTCAAGACCCGCCTGGCCAACATAGTGTCTACTAAAAGTATAAAAATTATCTGGCTGTGATGAATGTGCCTGTAGTCCCAGCTAGTCAGGAGGCTGAGGTAGGAGAATCTCCTGAACCTGGGAGGTGGAGGTTGCAGTGAACCAAGATTGCACCACTGCGATTGCACCACTGCACTCCAGCCTGTGCTGCAGAGCCAGACTCCATCCCACAAAACAAAACAAAACAAAGAACGGTGCATTGGACTAGAGCTGGGTAAGCCCGAGGGGACTTAGGAACTTCCTGAGCATCTGTGAAACTGGGTCCCTAAAGAGTAGGCTGTGTCCAGGTGCAGTGGCTCATGCCTGTAATCCCAGCACTTTGGGATGCCAAGCTGGGTGGATCACCCGAGGTCAGGAGTTCAAGACATGCTTGGCCAACATAGCGTCTACTGAAAATACAAAAATTAGCTGGGCATGGTGTTGGGTGCCTGTAATCCCAGCTACTCAGGAGGCTGAGGCAGGAGAATTGCTTGAATCCCTGAGGCGGAGGTTGCAGTGACCCGAAATCACGTCACTCCAGCCTGGCGACAGAGCAAGACTCCATCTCAAAAAAAAAAAAAAAAATAGGCTGTGACCTGTGGAATGAGACCCTGCTAGCCCTGTCTGCCCCTCTGACTGTGTTCCCTGGGCAGGTGACTTCTCCTTCTGTAGTTTGATTGGCTGTGAAATGGCATTTATAATGTTTACTTCATGAGGCTTAAATGAGATAAAGTGGATAGACAGTGCTTAGCCCAGGCCTGGCGGAGAACAAGCAGTTGGCTGTCAAGCACTCCCACGTGCAGGCATTTTGCAGTCACCCTGGGCTAAGTGCTTGATTTTTTTAATCCCCACAAGTGCTCTGTGAGCCTGGCACTATCATCCCATTTTACAGAAGGAGAAAGCTGAGGCACAGAGAGGTACAGCTAGCCGGTGGTTGGAGGCAGGACTTAAACACGGGTCTTCTGGCTTGAGAGTCTGAGGTCTTACCTCACTCCAGGAATACACAGCTCACGAGGATTATTTAGCGTGTACATTATCCCGGGAGCATTTATCAGGTTTTTTAGGGTGACTCTCAAACCTTGCTACTCATCAGAATTTTCAGGGAAATTGTTTTTGTTGTTGTTTTTATTAAAAACACAACAGGGCATAGTGGCCGACACCTGTAAGTCCCAGCTAACTCTGGAGGCTGAGCTGGGAGGATCACTTGAGCCCAGGAGTTGGAGGCTGCGGTGAGTTACGATTGCACCACTGCACTCCAGCCTGGGTGACAGAGTGTGACTGTTTATCAGGCTTTTAAGGGTGACTCTCAAACCTTACTACTCATCAGAATTATCAGGGGAATGTATTGTTGTTGTTGTTTTTATTAAAACAACACCGAATTTTGTTTCTTAAAAAAGAAACAAAAACCTGGCCAGGCATGGTGGCTCACACCTGTAATCCCAATGCTTTGGGAGGCCAAAGTGGGTGGATCATGAGGTCAAGAGACAGAGACCATCCTGGCCAACATGGTGAAACCCTGTGTCTTCAAAAAATACTGAAATTATCAAGTTGAACGATGAAGAAAAAAAATACAAAAATTAGCTGGGTGTGGTGGTGCATGCCTGTAGTCCCAGCTACTTGGGAGGCTGAGGCAGGAGAATCACTTGAACCCGGCAGGCGGAGGTTGCAGTGAGCCGAGATTGCGTCACTGTCCTCCAGCCTGGCGACAGAGCGAGACTCCGTCTCAAAACAACAAAAGCCAGGTATCAGGGCTTTCCCTAGGGTTTCTGGTGGGCCCAGGGACCTGCATTTCCAGCAAGCACTGCAGAGTGAGCTGCTCATACAGGGGATGCATAGACCACTCTTTTTTATTTTTGAAATAGAGTCCCACTCTATCACCTAGGCTGGAGTGCAGTGGTGTGATCACAGCTCACTGAAGCCTCCAACTCCTGGGCTCAAGGGATCTTCCCACCTCAGCCTCCTTGATAGCTGGGTCCACAGGCGTGCACCACCACGCCGGGCTACTTTTTAATTTTTTTTGTAAAGATGGGGTCTCATTATGTTACCCAGGCTCATGGACATTCTTTGAAGAGACTTGACTTCAGGGTGTTTTGACTCTGAGAGGTTTGAGAGCCCTGGACTGACAGACCCCTGAGAGCCCGGAAGAGTCGTGGGATGATCAGGGAGCTGAGACAGCTGCATGTTCTTGGGCAAACAACTTCCCCTCTCCCAGTCTCTGTTTTCTCCCTGTCTAGTGAGAACCCAGATCCCTTTCTCCCAGGGTTTTTGTGGGCATTCGAGGTGGCAAAGCTATTCCAATGGTCAGTGAGTTGAGTCAGGCTTTAGATTCCTTCTGACCCAAGGGTAATGGCTTCACCTCACTTCCCCTCTGGAAAACTGAGATGGGAGAGGGAAGATGCAGACCAGGATGTCTGAAGCAGGCAGCTCCACTGCAGGCAGCAGTCTCACCCCGGCCACCCTGGCCTTTCTCCACCACTCATTGTCACTCTCTTACCCGGGTTTGGAGGGCACTGCTCTGCTCAGTCAGGGGGGATGTGGTGACCCTCAGCAGGACAGCCTCCCCAGTGCCCAGGCGCTGTCCAGGCCCATCAGGCCAGGTGAGTTTCCCACCTTACTCCCAGCTTAGGTAACAGATTTGCCAGAGAATGGGGATGATCTGTAAGTTAGCCCATGTGACCTTCAGGTATGGAGACATAGGGGGCAGAGGCTGGGCATGGTGGCTCACACCTGTAATCCTAGCACTTTGGGAGGCCGAGGCGGGCAGATCACCTATGGTCAGGAGTTCAAGACCAGCCTGGCTAACATGGTGAAACCTGTCTCTACTAAAAATCAAAAAAAAGTTAAGCTGGGCGTGGTGGTACACACCTGTAATTCTAGCTACTTGGGAGGCTGAGGCAGGAAAATGGCTTGAACCTAGGAGGCAGAGGTTGTAGTGAGCTGAGATTGCGTTGCTCCACTCCAGCCTGGGTGACAGAGTGAGACTCCATCTCCAGATCCCCATTTTTTTTTTTTTTTTTTTGAGACAGACTTTAGCTCTTGTTGCCCAGGCTGGAATGAAATGGCATGATCTTGGCACACTGCAACCTCCGCCCCCTGGGTTCATGCAATTCTCTTGCCTCAGCCTCCCGAGTAGCTGGGATTACAGGCATGCACCACCACACCAACTAATTTTGTATTTTTAGTAGAGACGGGGTTTCGCTCTGTTGGTCAGGCTGGTCTCGAACTCCCAACCTCAGGTGATCCACCCACCTAGGCCTCCCAAAGTGCTGGGATTACAGGCCTGAGCCGCTGCACCTGGAAACTCCATCTCAAAAAAAAAGACAAGAAAAGTAGAGGGCCGGGAGGCAAAGAGCATGGGAGGTAGAGAGGGAAGGCAGGGCACACTTGGCACACGTGTGTGTGTGTGTGTGTGTGTGTGTCTGTGTGTCTGTGTGTCTGTGTGTCTGTGTCTGTGTCTGTTGGTAGAGTTACCTCCCAGGATCTCAGACCCTCTACCAAGTGTCAGGGCTGGAGGAAGGAGCTGACACCAGCTCTCTCTGAGGAGGGGCTGCTGGAGGGAAGTGGGGAAGGCCCAGTTTGGAAGCACCTGCAGGAAAGAGGGCATCGCATAGGACCTGCCAGGGGTGGGGGCACTTGCCCAGCTGGATGGTACAGTGTATTGTCGCAGCGTCTCGGAACTCAGGCCTCCCAGGGTTCAATCCCTTGCCTGCAATGAGACTTGGGGCAAGTGACACCTCTCTGAGCCTCACCTTCCTCAGCTGGGGAGTGGCAACTTCGGCAGGTGCTCAGGAAGCCCTTCCTTTGTGCCAGGTCCCACATTGGGTTTTATTAAAAGGCTTTATGTATATTAACAAATCGAACTTTCACTACAGTCTGTAAAGGATGTACTGTTATTATCCCCACTTTATGGGGAGGAAACTGAGGCACTGAAAGGTTAGGTCATTTGCCCAAGGTCACACAGCTGGTAAGCAGAGGAGCTGGCATTCAAGCCCAGACAGTCTGGCTGGCAGGCTGCCAAAGCCATGCTCCTGTCTGCTGCTTCCTGTCTGCCACCCGAGAGCACCTGGTGTGACAGGACCTGGCAAGAGCTTAGCAGGGACAATCTGAGACCCCAGAACTTGGCTTCCTGAGCTCAGATCCTGGCCCTGCCACACACAGCCGCTGTGTGTCCTTGTGCAGGGGACTTCTGAACTCTAGCCCTGAGTCTCCTCATCTGTAAAATGGGCCTGATGACAATCCCCGCATGGCACACAGTAGGTGATTGATTAATAAGCATTTAGTTGCCCAGTACTTGCCCCTATGGTTGGTTTGAGGAGTCAGGTATCGTCCAGCTGCCCTGTTCCTGTACAACTGTTCAATAAATATTACCCAAGTACCTGCATCCCAGCAGGCCCTGGAGTGGGTGCTCTGGAACTGTCATTACATTATCATCATCGTCACCACCGTCATCACATTACCACCACCATTACCATCTCCACTACATCACCATGATTGTCACTGCCACCATCTTCCCCACCACCAGTGTCACCACCATCATCATCACTCACCGCCACCATTACCATCTCCACCACCATCATCACATTACCACCACCGTTACCATCTCCACTACATCACCATGATTGTCACTGCCACCATCTTCCCCACCACCAGTGTCACCACCATCATCATCACTCACCACCACCATTACCATCTCCACCATCATCATCACATTACCACCACCGTTACCATCTCCACTACCATCACCATGATTGTCACTGCCACCATCTTCCCCACCATCAGTGTCACCACCACCACCACCACCGTCACCATCACTCACCACCACCATTACCATCTCCACTACCATCACCATGATTGTCACTGCCACCATCTTCCCCACCACCAGTGTCACCACCATCATCACTCACCACCACCATTACCATCTCCACCATCATCATCACATTACCACCTCCACTACCATCACCATGATTGTCACTGCCACCATCTTCCCCACCACCAGTGTCACCACCACCATCACCGTCATCATCACTCACCACCACCATTACCATCTCCACTACCATCACCATGATTGTCACTGCCACCATCTTCCCCACCACCAGTGTCACCACCATCATCATCACTCACCACCACCATTACCATCTCCACCACCATCATCACATTACCACCACCATTACCATCTCCACTACATCACCATGATTGTCACTGCCACCATCTTCCCCACCACCAGTGTCACCACCATCATCATCACTCACCACCACCATTACCATCTCCACCATCATCATCACATTACCACCACCATTACCATCTCCACTACCATCACCATGATTGTCACTGCCACCATCTTCCCCACCACCAGTGTCATCACCACCACCACCAACATCATCACCATCACCACCACCACCATCACCGTCATCATCACTCACCACCACCATTACCATCTCCACCATCATAATCACATTACCACCACCATTACCATCTCCACTACCATCACCATGATTGTCACTGCCACCATCTTCCCCACCACCAGTGTCACCACCACCACCACCAATATCATCACCATCACCACCACCACCATCATCACATTACCACCACCATTACCATCTCCACTACATCACCATGATTGTCACTGCCTCCATCTTCCCCACCACCACCATCACCACCACCACCACCACCACCATCACTCACCACCACCATTACCATCTCCACTACATCACCATGATTATCACTGCCTCCATCTTCCCCACCACCAGTGTCACCACCACCACCACCAACATCATCACCATCGTCACCACCACCACTACCACCACCACCATTACCATCTCCACTACATCACCATGATTATCACTGCCTCCATCTTCCCCACCACCAGTGTCACCACCACCACCACCAACATCATCACCATCGTCACCACCACCACCACCATTACCATCTCCACTACATCACCATGATTATCACTGCCTCCATCTTCCCCACCACCAGTGTCACCACCACCACCACCAACATCATCGCCATCACCACCATCATCATCACTCACCACCACCATTACCATCTCCACTACATCACCATGATTGTCACTGCCTCCATCTTCCCCACCACCAACATCATCACCATCGTCACCACCACCATCACCACTACCACCACCACCACCATCACCACCATCATCATCACATCACCACTACCACCATCACCACCATCATCATCACATCACCACCACCACCATCACCACCATCATCATCACATCACCACTACCACCATCATCATCACATCACCACCACCATTGCCATCTCCACTATATCACCATGATTATCACTGCCACCATCTTCACCATCACCATCACCACCACCATCATCACAGGCAGATGAGTGTTGGGGAGAGGCTGAGCCCCTCATGGGCAGACAGGCCTGTGTGTGGCTGAGATACAGGACAGGCTGCAGAGAGGAGGTACAGAGGGGACCAAGTCTGAGACTGGGGTGAGAAGCAAGGAGCACCCCGTTCCAGGGAGGGAAGGGAGCATTGTGCTCCCATAGGGACAAGGGATACAGTGGTAGACAGGCAAGGGTGGGGACAGTCGGGGGCCCAGGACTCACGCAGACAAGGGTGGGGGTGCTGGGGTGTGGCTGGCCGCCAGGGCCTGTCTCGATGGGATGGGCGGCAGCTCTCGCACCCCGGGCCAGTGGTATGGTGGCGGCAGCGGCAGCGAGGGGGCCGGGCACGGGCAGCACAGCGGGCGGCATGGCCATGGCACTGGCAGCGGCCTCTCAGCCCAGCCGCCGCAAGCCTGGCCTGGCCCCTGAACTCCACGTGGAGGTGGCTGGCCACCACAGTGGACTTAGAGCCTGGTGTGGAGCGGAAGGTCACCCTTTCAGGGCCTCCCAAGGCTCCAGGCCAGGCAGGTCTTTGCCACAGCAGCCTCCAGGGACCCCCTGCGGCCCAGGAGGCAGACAGGATGAGGGCCGGGGGTCCTGAGGTGCAGAAGCGCAGGCTGACAGATGTCAGGAGGAAGGGGCCACCCAGGGCCAAGGTCAGGCTGCCATTGCTATTGCAGGTTTCCCCGGGGTCCAGGTGGTTCCCTGGGGACAGGGTGCAGGCCTGAGGGCAGGAGGCTGCCGTGGCAGCCAGCTGTGTCACTGGCGGGAGGCAGAATCGGGGGCGGCCCTGTGGATCATAGCATGGGTCTGCAGTGGCCTGGCTCAGGAGGAACAGGAGGGCAAAGGTCACAGGCATGGTCACAGCAGTTTCGGCACCTGGAGGGAAGAGAGGTGGCTGGGCTAGGGACCTCGGCCGCATCCTCTACCCTTCCTGGAGGCGTCCTGTGGAACTGGAGCATTCCACCCGCAGCCCGTCCAGGCCCCCTCCTTGGCTGCATGGAAGCGAGGAAAATAGTTCCATCTGGGGAGAATTACTGTTTACATAACCCAAAGGGGAAAGAACGCAGACAAAATCGAGAATTTTGCCTGAACTAATCCGTAGATTAACACCCAGAGTTATCTGTCAGTGTCGAGGGGCAGGGGGCCCTGGGGAGCAGCGAGGGGCTGGCCAGCAGACGGGGAAACCTAGAGAAGGACACAGAGGCAGGCAGGGCTGGGCAGGAGAGGAGACTGAGGGACAGATGAAGACTCAGACATAAAGCAACGGAGGACAGGACAGAGGCAGAGACAGGACAGCAGGCCTGGCACAGAGAAGGAGCTGCAAAGATAGACGGATGGCCTGGAGGCCGGGAGGCCGAGATAGAGGGCAGGCACCCAGAGGCCACCGGGAGCTGGGGGACAGACAGGCTCAGACAGTCTGGGGGCCGAGACAGGCGGGCAGGTGGGCTCAGAGACACCCAGCCCAGCAGGCCCTGGGGAGGGGAAGGGACAGGATAGGGGTGTCTGGTGGGGGATTAGAAGTGAGAGGCCGAGGCCCAGGCCCGTGGGGATCAGAGCCATGGCCTTTCCCATGTGGGGCCCTAACCTTGTTCTCCACACCCTGGGCACAGAAGGGGATTATCACCAAACAACGCGGCTTCCCCGCCACCCCCCCACCCCCTTAACCCTTTCCCACCCGAGTGTGAAGCCCAGAGTGCTGAACTGAGGAAAGGGATGCTGGGAGCTGGAATCTTGGTGGCTCTGGGGCTTGAGAGCGGGACAGTGGAGTCTCTGTGGGGCCAGAGGAAACAGACGCCTGGGTTCCCTTCAGAAGCCTGGGTGTGGGGACCGGAAGTTACAGTTCTGGGACTTTCTGCTCAATACAGCTCCCACCCACTATCCTGGGCCCCAGGGCCCAGAGACCAGAGGTCCCCAGAGCAGATGGGGGAACAGATGCTGGGGGTGGTGGGTCATGAGGAGGAGAGAGGCAGGAAAGCAGGAGCTTAGGGTGGGGTGCCAGATGCCGGGGAGCCCAAGGGGGCATAAGCCCAGATCCCAGGGATGGCAGGAGCTGGGCAAGACTGGGCTCTGAAATGGCCCCACTTTCCCCTTCCAGGGCCACAAGCCTCTCAGAGCCTTTCCAGGCCCTTGGCTCTGCATCTGTGCCCAGTCTCTGGGGCACCCTGGGGGTAGGGGTAGGCCACACCTGCTCCGCCTGGCCTCACAGCCCACGTCCCCACTGCTGTTGGCCACATGCAAACTCTGACTCCCCTGGCCCCAGATGACAGGCCTCACCCTCCACCCCTCCCAAGGAGCCTGGCGCCATTTTGCGCTTACTCGGGTGGTGGCTGCCCGCCTAGCCCTCAGCAGCAGCCTGTTAAGAACCAGCCCCGCCATGTCCCCTTTCTCTCCTGCTGGATAGTTCAAGGGGTGGCACCCTCTGGCCCTTAGCACCTTGGGGAACCAGGCTATGAGGTCCCAGTGTTCCTGGGGGACCCAGAAACTAGTCGCGGCCCATAGAGAACCCAGATGTCCAATCCCCCAGTCCATACCCCACTTTAGGAAACAGTCCAGCCATGCTCCCAGCAGACCCGTAGGCTGCCTGCCTGGGTGCCGTGAGATCCATCTCGGACCAGGCTTCCTTTCCCTGACTCTTGGCATGCACCCCCCACCCCAGATCCCTGAAGCCCCGACATTGGCCAGACCTGCACTCAAGAAGAGAGCGTCCTGCAGCCAGTTCCCACAGGCTCTTCCTCCTAGCAGTGGCGCGGTGGGCTCTCGGGAGGGAGTGGCCAGTGGCTGTTCTCAGGCCCCAGGCTAGTGGGGTTTCTGGACTGGGCGGGGGCTCAGAGCAGAGCCCGCAGAACCCAACACCGCCACCCCTCTCCCGCCCCAATCCCCTCACCAACCGCAGCCACGTTGTCCCCACAGGGACCCCTGCCAGCCAGGCCACCCGCAACGGTGTGGGACGTGAGCACCGGTGCCCCCTGCGGTTCAGCGGCAGGACAGCCTGGCCTAGGAGGCTCACCGCAGGTAGGACGGGAGGCCGCCAGCTGGGCCCGCTCCATCCCACTCCACGCCCGCCCACTGGCTCAGCCCCACCTCGTGGTGGCGATGATCGGGCAGGACTGACCTTTGGGAGACAATCACCGTCGGGAACTTTGCTCAGCTCCTGCTTCTGACTGCGTGAACCCAAGCCAGCCCTCCTCCCTTTGAACCTGTCAGCTGTGGGTTCCCCGAGCCTTAAGGTCAGTCATTTTCAAGCCCTAAAAATCTGTGTTCTTGGAAGGTTCATACCAGCCCCCGGGAATTCCAAAGACCTCAGCCGCTTTCTAAGATGGTGGGGAAAGTGACGAAGGAGCCGAGAACATCTGGGCCCCAGTGTTTCTCCTGCAGCGGAGGGAGAAGGCAGGGACCCCCCAGGATGCAGGGGACAGAGCTCAAAAGTATCTCCCCAATGCCAGTGTCCTGTGAGGCCTCAGTGCTTTCGTTGTGACATTTTTGTTCAAATGTTGCTGTCTGCTCTATTCCATATCCGAATGGGTTGACAAGAAAAATAATGTTTTCTGTCGCTTCCCGCTGAGAAAAGCAAGGGCCTCGTGGGGTTGGGGCCCGGCACCTGCTGCCCTGGGTGGCCCCAGCGTTTATCGTGGTATAGTATGGGCTTGATCCTGACAGGCTTGGGACCCACTGTCCCGGGAGGTTCAAGGGCACAGCCAAGGCAACCCTGGATTCTGGACCCTTAGGTACCATGTTGGAGGGGCCAGAGGAGGCAGGAACAGGACAGGATGTCGGATTTGAAAGAAAGGACTCACTTCCAAAGCTGGGAGGGGAATCAGCTGCAGGAGGACAGAATGGGGCCAAGATGCCTCCATATCAGAGGGGCATGTTGGAGCTGGGGGTCCAGGCCGTGAGAGTCAGAGTACAACTTCAGGATTCTGGCACGGGTCCCCCGCTGACCCTGCCTGAGCTCTCCCTGTGTGGGACTTTGCCGGGGGTGTGCGCTGGGAGCATACCCTGCCCCGTCAGGCTCACTGTCTGGAGAGGGAGGGGGAGACCCCAGCAGCTCAGGCCCTTCCATGCTCTAGATTGTCTGAAGGTGCCAATCGCCTTGGAGCAAAGGCAAATGGGGAAGGGGCCATGGGGGCCCAGGGGCTGCAGATGTAAGTGGGTGACATGGAGAGGCGTTTATGCTGAGGTCACGGCCAGTGCAGAACCCAGATGGCTCCCAGACAACTCAGGAAGAAGGTTCAAGTTTCATGTCTTCCTCCACACCTGGGCGAAGTCTTTTAAGCTCCCGCTCCTGGAGGGATGCTTTTGTTCCCCACAGCCTGAGCTGCCTGAGGTGATTGTCGCCCCTGCGGGTGCCTGGGGAGGTGGAGACAAGAGCTGCCAGAGCCCAGGAAATAGTTCCCCAAGTTGGGAAAGAGACTGTTCATGTGTGTGTCTGGAGCTGGAGACCTTCACCCTCGCAGCTCTACAGAAGGCTGGGCCTGCCCAAGGCGCAGCTCTACAGAAGGCTGGGCCTGCCCAAGGCGCAGCTCTACAGAAGGCTGGGCCTGCCCAAGGCGCAGCTCTACAGAAGGCTGGGCCTGCCCAAGGCGCAGCTCTACAAAAGGCTGGGCCTGCCCAAGGCACAGCTCTCAGGTGCGTTCAACCGGGAGAGACCCTGGGTGCTGGGCTCCCACAGACCGCTGACCCCTGCCTCAGTGACCCAGACAGGACGGAGGCCCCACAAGGCAGGGCAGGTCATGCTGCTGCGTGAGTTACTGGGCAGAGTGTGGATGGGCGGGGCCTGCCCCCCCCAGGACATGTTTGAAAAGGCCAGGATGGTAATGCCAGCCACACCGCCTGGGTTCACACCCACCTCTGTCCTAGCTGTGTGACTGAGAGCCAGGCTTTTTGCCTCTCTCTGCCTTAGTTTCCTCATCTGTTAAATGAGGATGAAAGCATCCTCATGATAGGCAGAGGGGTGGTGAGGACGAAACAAGCTGACATGCCCATGGGTTCTTGCCTGAACTCTCTGGGACACTCGTATTTTCTATTCTGGAACCTTCTGCATTTTGGCCCTGTTGATGGATGCATAGTCCATGTCACATAGCCACCACGTGGCACGGCACGGTCTGGGCCACATCCCATTGTCAAACATGTCACGTTTTAGGCAGCAAAGAACATGGGTGTTCACAGTAACAGAAGTGAAGTCTGCAGATAGCCACATGACCCTCCAAGCCAGGGTTGTCCCCAGATGAGTTCAGTCCAGGTTGGCGTTTGCCAGTCCCCCTGAGGACAATGCCTGACAAGGAATCACGTACCAGGACAGCAAGCCCCGAGATGGGACTGGCCCGCCCCCACCCTGGCAGTGTCCACCTTGGTGTCTGCTTTTCTGCGGCTTTCTGGTTGTCTAGGCTGAGAACAGCCACGAGAGGGCGCACCTGAGACTCCGGGAAAAGGCAGGGCACCCACTGCGTGATCCTCAGGGTCCTGGGACAAAATGCAGACACTGGACCCCTTGTTTAGAATCTATGAAGGATTTTAAGATGGCAACGCCACACAACATAAAGGTGGACCCTGCGGGGGGCGCCCTTGTCCTCAGCTGGTTTCTCCTGGCCAGTGAGTGGCCCAGGTTCCGGTCCCTGCCCTGCACCTCCCTCCCCCAGCCCTGGCCTTGGGACCTGCCTCAGGGGCTCCAGCTGGGCTCAGAGCTTAGTTCTTTCTCCAGGGCAGGACCCTGAGTTGAATGGGTGGCAAGATGGCGTTTGGAACAGTTTCCACCAGCTCAGTGAAAAAGGGCTCTGGCAGATGTAACTCACTTTTTGGGAATGAAAGCAGTGCCAGAGGCTTTTCTCTTAGGACTTAGGCCAGCTGGCCTTGCTCGGGACCCACGTGACACTTTCAGGGAGGGCACCAAAGTGTTCAGGCTTCTCAAAAGGATCAGATTAACCAAGTGAGGAGCCCTGGAATAGAGGATGAAGCTGAGGAGGCTGCAGGACCCCGAGGTTTCAGCGGACAGGCCGGGGGAGAGATGGGGAGTCGGAGGGGTGAGGCAGAAGCCAGAAGTTCTGGGGGTGAGCCTGGACCAACCAGTGCTTCAGGAGGGATGGCATAGGAGGGGAGGGGGTGAGGGGATGACTGCTGAGTTGTAGCCATTGGAGTGGCCACAGGGAAACCATAGGGCATTGGTCAGAGGAGTGAACGCCGGAAGAAGGAGAAGCCAGTCAGGACATGGTAGGGACTGGGAGCAGAAGGCCTTCCGGGAGCCCTGGAGGTAGATGGAGCAGCCCCTGGAGAAGGGACCATCCACCCCATTTCAAGGACCTGGGCCCCATCAGGCCAGTGGTCAGGGCTGGACCTGGAGGTGAAAAGGCATGGGCCCCATGGTGAGATGGCCCTGTGCACCCACTACAGCCAAACACGATGGCTCTTGAGGCTGGGAAATGGGGCCCTTCTGTGCTGCTGCTGGTGGGAATGGAAAGTGGGGGAGCCACCTGGCAGCTCCCAAAAGATTCCACAGAGTCAGCCAGTGACCCACCACACAGGTTCATGGCAGCACTATTCACGATGGCCAAAAACTATAAACAGCTCCAGTGCCCATCACCTGATTAATGAATGAACACATTGTGGTCCACCCTGACAATGGGACTTTCAGCCTTGAAAGGAGGGAGGTGTCAGTTCTACACCTGCTA